GATTGGCTGAAGGGCTCATGAGTCATAGTTTTAGTTTCTCCTGTCTGAGCAAATGAGGGTCCAGATTGTAGATAAAAGAGTCAATGGAATAAAACTTGGAAATCATTAAATACTAGGGATCAAATAAAGTAATATTGTGTAAGAATTGGAAAAATGGTCAGAAATTCCTTATAAGTCCTCAGACTCTGCAATTGGAAGGTCAGTCATTTATTAAAATTTCATTTTCTTCTCCATTACCCTGAAACAGCAAACTTCACCTTGGCAGAGTCTGGTAGGAAAAGAGCTGGGTTCAGAACGAAATGAAGAAACTAACTCATGCCAATTCTACTAACACACATTCTAACCTCAGCATTCTTATTTCCACCATGTATAAAATATAAAACAAATTGCTTCTAATACCTAATAGGTATATTTTAAGACCTTGGAGGATTATTCCCTAGGAGTAACTGAACCAAAAATAGATCAGCTCATACAGGGACTGAGTATCCAATTTTGAAATTAGTTTAATCCCTGATGTGATTAAGGTAATATTGAGTATCTAGTGTCTCTATCCTAATTCCCCACTAGAAGAAAAACATATATTCTCAATTATACATATTATTACACAAAATATCACTATGCTTTATAATTTTTCAATTGTACAATATTTGAATTTGTTTACTAATCAAAAATTATCAGGTTTATGAGAACACAAGACATGATCAAAACCAAGAGAAACAACAAACAATAGAATCAGTCTCATTTGGGACTTAAATAATGGAGCTATAATTCATAGACATTAAAATAATTACAAATAATTTATTCAATAAATCATAGGAAAAGAGTGAGGTCAGCAGAGAGTTAGAAAACAGCAAAAGCAAAATTCTAAAATTGAAAAACACAACTGTTGTTATGATATAAATAAATGAATTTAAGAGCAAATTAGACACAACCAAAGAAAAGATTAGTGAATAGAAAGACAAATCAGACAAAACTATAAAATTCAAATATTAAAAGAATAGAAAATATGGAAATGAGTATAAGAGTTATATAGAAGATATTGAATTTAGCTAAAAAAATGTATTTGGAGGACCTGGAGTAAAGGAAAAGGAGATGGGGAAAAGTAATCTGTGAAAAGATATTATCTGAGAAATTTTAAAATATGGCAAATGATATTAATAGGTGCAGATTTAAGATACTCTAGAAAACCCAAGATAAACAAATACAATGAAAATCAGACCCAGCCATGTTATAGTAACTTGAAAATCTGACAGGAAAGTGAAAAATATTAAAAGCAGTAAAAAAAAAAAAAGTATCATTACCCTCAAAAAAGCAACAGTAAGCATATTGACATCTGATTTCTTAACAGGAATATTGGAAACCAGAAGCCAATAGAATGAATAACTTTGAATTACTAAAAGTTAATAACTTTTAACCTAGAGTTCAATAACTGGCAAAAACATGTTTGAAAATTAAAAATGAAATAAATCCACACTAAGGAAAAACAAAAATTGAGAATATGCATCACTAGCAGAACTACACTGAAGGAAATACTAAAGGCTATACTTCAGACAGAAGAAAAATTATCCCACATAGAAACATAGAGATGTAGTAATACAAAGTATGGAGCAACGGAAAGGGTAACTATGTAGTAAATTTAAATGAACATTGACTATAAAATACCAATAATATCTTGTGGGATTAACTATGTTATAGACTGAATGTTTGTGTCCCCTTCCTAATTCATTTGTTGAAACATAATCCCTAATCTGATGGGATTTGGAGGCTGAGCCTTTGGGAAGTGATTGCTATTCTTATAAAGGAGACCCCAGAGAGCTTCCTTGTCCCTTCCACTATGTGAGGACATAGCAAGAAGACAGCTAGCTATCTATGATCCAGGAAACAGGCCCTTACCAGACAACACATCTGCCAGAACATTGATATTAGATTTTCCACTCTCCAGAACAGTGAAAAATAAATTTCTGTTGTTTGTAAGCAACCCAGTCTATGGTATTCTGTTAGGTTGCTTGAATAATTCAAAGTGTGGGTGTATAAATAAATACATATGTCTATATATGTTTGTGTATGTGTGTATAGTTATAGATAAATATACAGATATTTTAAAAATACAAAAATAACACTAAGAGGGGAGTAAAGGGAGTTAAAGTATTTTAAGGCTTTGGTATTGTCTCAGAAGTGCAAACAGTACTTTTATAGAGATTACAATATGAATTCTTGATTTATTAAAATCTAATGTAAATATAAAATACTTAGACAATCTAAATGAAGAGAAATAAGGAGAGACAAAACAGACTAGATGGAACAAAGAGAGAGTGAGTACATAGGGGGTAGATTTTAAGTAAAATATGTGAGTAATTCCATTACTACAAATGGAGTACATATCCTAATTAAGTTATAGTTGTTGAACAAGATATAAAATATACACACATTTATATGCTGCTTACAAGAGACACACCTTAAATATAAAGAAACAAAAGGTTGACAGTAAAAGGGAAAAAAGGATTTGCCCAGCATACACTTACCAAAAGAAAACTGTTGTAGCCATACTAATTACAAACAAAATCAACTTTAAGGGGAAAATTCAGAACTAGCAATTAGGAGGGACTTTTCATAATTATGAAGGTTTCTGTACACCCATAAAACTTCACAATCCTAAATATTTTAAGTGCTCAAGATTATACCTTCAGCATATATAAAGCAAATATTATCAGAATTAAAAAGAATAAATGAAATATCCACAATAATTATTGAGAGATGTTAAGATATATCTCTCATAATATCGGATGGAATCCTACATAATAAAAGGCTAATATGCAAATTGTCCCCTTGGGAGTTCAACCGACTGGGAGTTCAACCACTCACTATGACATGCACTGACCACTAGGGGGCGGCTTGGAATGAAGGAAGGCCCAGCCAGCAGCTGGCAGCCAGGGAAAGGAAGGCCCTGGCTGACCCTGATTGCTGGCCAGGCCTAGGGACCCTACCCATGCACAAGTTTCATGCATTAGGCCTCTAGTATGTAAAAAAAATATTAGTAAGGATATAGAAGATTTTGACAATATGGTTAACAAGCATTTAATAGAGTTATTTAGGACATTCAAATCAATAACTGCAGAATGCATTATTTTCAAAGATTTAAGAAACATTTAACAAAATCAACCAATTGCTGGGCAGAATTTCAAAGACTAAACTCATAAAAGTATGTTCTCTTACTACCCTAGATTTAAGTTAGAATTCAATATAAAAAACAGATACCACTCAGCTGGCATGGCTCAGTGATTGAGCAAAAACCTATGAACCAGGAGGTCACTTCAATTCCCCCTCAGGGCATATGCCTGGGTTGTGGGCTCAATCCCCTGTGTGGAGCCTGCAGAATGTAGCCAATCAATGATTCTCTCTCATTATTGATGTTTCTATCTCTCTGTCCCTCTCTCTTCCTCTCTGAAATAAATGAAAATATATTTTTTTAAAAGCTTAAGAAAAAAATTCATAAATTCCCCATGAAATCTGATATTAAGGAAGACAATTATAAATAACTCATGATCAAAGAAAAAAATCACAATAGAAATTAGAAACTAGAATTCAATCTATATCATAAAAATTTATATTAAAATGTGTGAAGTGCAACTAAACAGTGAAAGTAAGATAATTCAATCCTTAAATGCATATTTTAGAAAAGAACAAAGGCTGAAAAACTAAGTATTTAAGCATCTGTATAAAAAATTGATGAGAAATAAATTAAATCCAAAAAAGGAAAGGAAAGAAAGAACATGGCAGAATTCAATAATTTTAAAACAAATATGCAATATGGCATTAAAAATATGTGTTAGAAAAAAAGCAAAACAGTTCACAAATGTTTCTCTCACATCAATATTTCTCTCTGTCTTTCCTCTCTTCCACTCTCTCTGAAAATCAATGGAAAAATATCCTCGAGTGAGGAATATAGGAATCCTCAATGGAACACACTAGCCTTTATTCAGAGTGGCTGGAAATGGAAGGTCACTCACTCTTACTACTAAACTATTCACTTTTCTCCTAAAATTAACCTCTTAACACCTATAAGAGAATGTGTTAGTGAGGGGAAAAGATAAACTTAACTAAACTAAACCAAACCAAACAAACCTGAAGTGATTTCAGCACCCTCCCACACCTCAAGCACAGGAAACAGATCAACATGGAGTTGCCTTGAGATAAGATTATTAGGCACCTCCCAGAGTAGAGATGAAGTGACTTTGGGGGGAGAAAATATATTGGTTGGTCCAGGGAGAGACTTTCCAAAAGGATGGAGTTAGTAGGATCCAGGATTAGTAGTGACCAATCAGGCTTAGACTCCAGTTTAATTAATCTTAGAAAACAATGATTCTTGACTTGTACCCAGGTTGGCTTAGAGAATCCTGTGACCATTTTACTCCAATAGGCTAAACGCAGAGGTGAATGAGAAGGTTCTCTCCCTTCGCCCTTTCTCAAGAACTAGGTTGGCAAAAATTCAGGAGCTACTCTAGTTTTGTCTCTCAGCTGATGTGGAGACAGCAGCCTGGAAATTTCATATTTATCTTGACAGTTACCCTAAATGTCTCAGGGTAACTGTCCGTGCCTTCTGAGAAGCCACATAGAGCTTGGGGCTCTAATAGAAGAAAAATCCTGTGTGGCTTTCAAATGCAGAAAGAGACGTCATTCTGTCAGGCTTCTAATTTTACTATATGTTATAGTGTTAAAAAATAAAAATACTGTTCTCTCTGACTCTGTATCTGTCTCTGTTTATCTATTCTTCTCTCTCTCTCTCTCTCTCTCTCTCTCTCTCTCTCTCTCTCTCTCTCACACACACACACACACACACACACACACACCACTGCAAAGCCTTGCTGAACCCATGATTGGGCTATACTTATAATTCCACATTCTATCCAAAAATTTTAAATACTCTTTTTCTTTCTTGCTTTTCTCACTCCAATCCCTTCAGTCTTCAAATCTGGTTTTCCAAGCAAAATCAAGAAACTCACGCGACTTTGGCACAGACAGTGCACTTCCAGCTGCCATCAAGGTCCGAGACCCGACACTCACTGCACACCCTCAGTGAGCAGGCCTGGCATGGGTTTCCCCGGTCAAATATTAAGCCCAGGTTTCTCTGACAGTAAACACAGACTCTGCTGGTCTCTTGTTGAATCTTCCCACTTCTATGTTTTGCTTCTAAGAGTTCGTTTTTCAGCTTCCTAGAAGGAGAAGGGGAAAATAACTTTAAAAAACAAACAAAGAGAGTAGCTAAGCTATATTTAAGGGTTATTTTCATTTGGAATAACATTTAAAAGAACCAAGGAGTCAGAGCCAAATAATTTCAGAAAACACAATTTCTTCCTCTAGAGCAGTGGTTCTCAACCTTCCTAATGCTCATGTGTGGTGACCCCCAATTTCATTGTTACAAATTGAACATAATTAAAGCATAGTGATTAATCACAAAAACAATATGTAATTATATATGTGTTTTTCGATGGTCTTAGGTGACCCCTGTGATAGGGTCGTTCGACCCCCAAAGGGGTCGCGACCCACAGGTTGAGAACCGCTGCTCTAGAGTCAACAATTTTTTGACATCAATAGTTGAAAAACATGTTTGTGTTTTTTCTTTTGAATTTTGACATCCTTCTTGAGCACTGCTACTTTGAAATTAGTATTTATTCACATTCTACTCTAACTTCTCCAAGATCTTTGATACCATAATATTGAAGCACAACCCTAGCCTAGAGACATGCATAATATCATGTTCTTTACTTGCTTAGATATACTACATGGAGGAAGAGTGTGAAATCAAGCTTGGCAACATGGAAACTTTCCTTAGGTGATCCAATGAAGAGATTGCTATAAAAACATTACCTACTATTTCAGATCTAAATGCTTCTTCTTATCATATGAGGGTATCCAAAAATGTCCCTTAACCTATGGGTTTTTCTGTCAGAGTGTGAATTCAACTTGCATCATGAATTAGCTGTCCAACCTTAGAAAACTATTTATCCACTCAACCTGTGAATCTTCATTTTTAAAATGGGGGTAATAACATTCTTATTCTTATTATATTATTTTCTGTTTTATAAAATAGTTTTAAAATATACTTTTTTTTATTTCAGAGACATGAAGGGAGAGGGATAGAGAGATAGAAAGATCATTGATGAGAGAGAATCTTTGATTGACTGCCTCCTGCTGGAGATGAAGCCTACAACCCAGGCACGTGCCCTAACTGGGAATCAAACTGTGACCTACTGCTTCATAGGTCAACATTCAACCATTGAGCAACACTGGTCAGGCTATTATTTTCTGTTTTTAAGATTAAATGACATATAGGGGGGTGAGGGCATGAGTGGGGGGGTCGGGGGGTAATGGGGGGATAAGGACACATATGTAATACCTTAATCAATAAAGAAATTTAAAAAAAGATTAAATGACATAGCCCTGGCCTGCATGGATAAATAGTTAGAGTATCAGCCTAGGGACCCAAGGACTGCAGGTTCAATTCCCAATCAAGGGCACATACCTAGGTTGCAGGTTCGGCCCCCCAGCCCTGGTTGGGGCATGGGTGAGAGTCAGCCAATTGATGTGTCTCTTTCACATCGATGTTTCTCTCCTATCCCTTATTTCTATTCTTTCCAAAAAAATCAATGGAAAAAATATTCTTGGGTGGCGTTAACAACAACAAAAAAAGATTAAATAGTATAATATATAAAGTTACCAGCACAGTTCCTGGCATATAGGTACTAAATAACTGCTATTTCCATGTCCATTTTTTTTTTTACTACCTGACATGTATACTTATATACAATTTATAAGATAACTATTCAACATGTGGTCCTTGTTCTGGGAGTGTCAGCATCATCTGGGAGTTTGTTAGGAATGGAGAATCTCAGGTCCCACCTCATACCTACTGGATCAGATTCTGCATTTCACAAAATCTCCAAGTGATTAAAGTTTCAGAAGCACAACTTTAGAACATTTGTTATCAAATTTGGCTATGCACTGGAATCACCTGGGAAGATTTTAAAAAATTATACTGATTCCTGAGCCTCACCTCCCCCACCCCTGACTCTTATATAATTGGTTTATGATGTGGTCTATGCAATGATATTTTTATTTTTTAACATATATATTTTATTGATTTTTTTACAGAGAGGAAGGGAGAGGGATAGAGAGTTAGAAACATCGAAGAGAGAGAAACATCAATCAGCTGCCTCCTGCACACCTCCTACTGAGGATGTGCCCACAACCAAGGTACATGCCCCTGATCAGAATCGAATCTGGGACCCTTCAGTCTGCAGGCCGAAGCTCTACCCACTGAGCCAAACCAGTTAGGGCAGCGGTTCTCAACCTGTGGCTCGCGACCCCTTTGGGGGTCGAATGACCCTTTCACAGGGGTCGCCTAAGACCATCGGAAAACACATATATAATTACATATTGTTTTTGTGATTAGTCACTATGCTTTAATTATGTTCAATTTGTAAAAATAAAATTGGGAGTCACCACAACATGAGGAACTTTATTAAAGGGTTGTGGCATTAGGAAGGTTGAGAACCACTGGGTTAGGGCAATGATATTTTTAAAAGTTTCCTTATTTATTCTATGTATTGCCAAATTTGGAAAACAGATGACAGATTCATTCCACTTAAATGCTTCACAGACATATCATTCCTTTATGTTATCCATATCCAATCCCCTCTTCACCATAACATTTGTATGTTCTAGAAGAAAATAATCCCAGATTCATCCCACACATCTCATACTTTTTCCTTTCACATTTGTGGAACTGTGCTTCATTATACCCAACAATACTAGCATCTCCCCAAAGGTAGGAATAATTACTTCAATTTCTTGTATATACTGCTCAGGACCCAGTTCTGTGCTAAATTATAAGGTACTTAAATGTTTAAGACTATTTATTATTTCTTTGGGGCCTTCAAACTAACTTGTAATGTATTATGAGACTCATGTTAAAGATTGTAAGCAGTATATATAAAACCAGAAACCAGGTATTTTAATCCCTAGCCTAATGAGAGATTCATAAATGGGGAATTATAAAAGTGAAGAGTAAGAGTTCCAAAACCTTTGATTGTCTCATTTATCCAATGAACATTTATTAGGTGCCTATTATGTACTAGGCATTCTGATATTCAGAGAGGAAAATAAGTCAAACAGGATATCTACTAAGGATTCCAATTATCCTCCATATCATTCAAGTAAAGGACAAATAATGCAAGATGATTCATATGTTGCAACAGGCAGCTATACAGAACATTCTTCTCCTATCTAAACACAAATGACAACCTACAGTAGATGCTTTCTTAATCCCTAATTTAGAGCTTAGAAAGTACCTTTATGTCTTTTTTCCCCATGAGCAACTGCTCATGAAATTAAGTGTAAGAAAAGTAAATCCATATGATTTACTTTTGAAAACTTATAAAAGCTACAAGCTTTAAAGAAAAGAATGCATTATCATTTTAAGACCACAACTATATTATTTAGAGAAGCACTTCAGGGCACAGGAGAAATACTAGTAAAACATTGCCCTTTCAAAATCTATAACAATTCATGCAACAACAATAAAGAAACAAAGTGATCAAAATGGGTAGAAAAAGCTAGCAATCTTAGACAGGCAGTACTATCCAAGTAGGCTAGGGGTAGGAGGAGAGTACTAAACCAAGACAATGGGATGTTCTAGGATTTTCCAGAAGTAAATTCTCTTCTGGAAGAAAATTCTATAATCAGGTGCCTGAAGTTTAACCACTTAAAGTAGAGTGAGAACTCTTGGAGAATTTAAGGTCATAAAGACAAACATTTATAGTCCATCTTTCTTTGTGCTCTACTGACAGGACTGTATTTAACAATCAGGTTTTACCTAGTTCACAGTTCCAGGGTCTGAAAAGACTTGGGGCTCTGTATAAATCAGGCCACAGGGAAAAAATAACAAATGTCCAAACACACTAGCTGGGAACTTCCTAAGTCAATCGGTGCTAATTGTGCCACATATTCTGGAAGGTCTCTAAGACATGTGCGAAGAATTCCATAAGCTGGCACAAATTTTGAAGCAACTTACTGATTTTTCAAATATCTCTTAGAAATTGACCTAATTCAATCATGTCTAGGATAATTCACATGAAGTAGACATAGCCAATTTCAGGCACTCAAGAAGAGGATAAAAGTAGTCAACTGCAACTAGGAAAAGAAAGTGTGCAATTGGAGAACTGGTTCCAGGGAGAAAGGGAAGTATAGGGAACTAGAAGAGAGCAATCGGGTGGGAAATTTCTTTTTCCTATGCTTTACTAGCCAGCACTTACAAAGCAAGAGGGACATTATTTGGTTCCTGCATTGCTGGCCCAACCCTAGGAACTATCTGAGGAAGGTGTTTCAGGGATGTTCTTCTCTCTCATACACGTAAGTAAGTAATGTTTCTAGATCCAAGTAACAGGCTTAGAAAATTAGTTTCACCCCAAACTATGATAATAAATATATAAAAATGCTAACATTGGTATGGTTTGTGTGGTAGGACAACGTATAGGTTTTCTCTTTTATTTTCTAAATTTCAAATGTAATTTTATTAATATTATAATTTTAAAGTACAATAAACATTGAAACAAAAAAGAAAAAAAGTAAATTGGTTTCATATTTCCCCCCATATAACAAGAAATTCATAATGAACATTAGTTTAGCTACAAAATCAGGTCATTAAGCATTCCTTTCATCCTGATAGTCTCTTATCTCCAACGTGTGATTTATCATTCTTAGACAAAATGCCCAAACAGCTCCAGCATAGCATCCACTTTTAAGGCAGGAATAAGGATGAAGGTGTATAACATGAACCTGTCTCTTAACAGAAAAGCAAAAATTAACTCAAAAGTTCTCCCATCAGATTTCCCCTTAGGTTTCCTTGACCAGACAGTGTCACATCACCACCACTAGCTGCAAGGAAGGCTAAGAATGTGGAACAAGTTGGACTGCACATCCCTGCCCTCTTGACATTAGATGTGGTATTGTGACTGGCATTGATCCACAAAATGTGGCATGGGATTCCTTCCAGTTAAAAATTGCAAAAAGTGAATGCTTGGTTTTCCATAAACCCTCCTCTTGGCTTGGAAAGTGGCAATGTCCCAAATAGTGTCTGCTCTGTAAATCTGGGTCCTGGTTTGAGGATGCCATGAACTATAGTCTCCAGCCATCCTGTTTTGGATGTATAGGA